GAGATATTCCCCCTCTTCACCGCAGTAGTGAAATAAGCTTTTTTGTTGAGCCCTTGCAAGTCGTGAATGACTTATAGAAATGCGCTCGGCGTGGGACAGGAAAGGTGCATAGAGGATTAATATGAGATTAGTTTAAGACATGTTATTACTATTTTGGGTCATTACGATTATACTATTATATCAACAAATAGTGAAGTCCCTGATTCCAATCGCGGGATTCTATTCTTTTGAAGATACTATTATTCTCCTTTATTGTTTTGAAAGAACACCAAATGACAGACAAGATAAATTAAATTTGTCTTCTTGAAAAATGACGTTGAAAAGGACGAGAATGAGAAGTAAGTTGATCCATTTCTATTAACTATTGTTCTCCCTAAATTTTGTGCCGTACGTTCGATAACTCAATTGGTGTGGTATTATGTATCACATGCATTATCGTACAAAATATTTCACATTATATACAAAAAGTTCTCTTTCAGCACCTTGAGGAAGTACCCCCTTGGAGAAGAGAGATTGTTCATTGGACGTTGCTCTTTAATTTCGTATTTATTAGTGGATTCATAGAATACCACGAAAAGCATTTTTAGCAAATTTGCTTTCCGGAATTTCCTTCCATTCTTTCATTTTATCCAGTTAATTGAGCGGAGCAGAAAATTCCCGCTAACGAGGCCAGAGAAAGCCATCATGGAATACCGAGCTATTCCGATTGATCACATACATGAACATCCAATTTACGCGGTTCTTCTCCGAAAACAAACAGTAGTACGTCTCCGGGTGGTGTTTCCCTGGCGGCCGCAGCGTCGACGTAGGGGCGGACGCACACAGGTGCGATGGCGGGCGGGCCCTTCGGAGTCGCGCGGTGGTCCCTGCGGTCCAGTGGGTCGGCGGCGGGGGCGGCGTGGCGGCGTGGGCGGGCGCGGCGCCGGACGGCCCCCGAGCGGCGCTAAAAGATGCGGCGGGGCCTCCGCGGCCGACCGCGGGCGCCGGCTGTGGGGGCGACCGACCCGACAGAGGTCCAAGGGCCCGCTCACGCGACCTCTCACGCTTCGCCCACGCCCACGCACGCTCCCTTGCGGCTTCCGAAGCCCCGGTTTGATCGTTCTGGATACTTCGCTGGACGTAGCTGACGCTTGTTATTGTGTTCGGGCTAATTTGTTTCTTAACGAGACCCTCTCGTTCCATTTAGCTGTTTCCTTGAGAAGACCTTCGAAAGCAGTCGACTTTGACGGCAAAATTGGACCACAAAAGAACGTGGTCGTAATTACGATTTTACACCACCAGACAGCGTCGTGCTTATCGTCGTAAAAATATTGCATGTCGATTTTATAATTACTCTAGACGTCTTTTCTCTTCTCAGTCTGTATCGAAATCACAATCAAAGGCCTTCAGAATTTCTAAGTTGCCTTAATGTTTTTAATGATTTTGTTGTCAGGACAAATGTGTATATATACATATATATATATA